CTTTTTTTAATTCTCTCTAGCTTTCAATGGACTTTGCCATCATCATCAGGAGCTGCAATTACAATGATAACAGTAGCAACAAAAGTGTAAAATGAATTTAAATTGACTCAACTTACAGTAGTATGTGAGGATGTTGCTAATTGTTGTTTACGTATAGGATGAGGGAAACGTCCAGTAACATGGTGAGAGCTGGATAGATTGTACAATGGTCAAAATTATATAAAATATGACAAGAACAAGTTAAAAACAGATTAAAAATTATTTAAAAAACATTAGAGCATTACATCGTGAAGCCACTTGATGATTGCACAAATTAGTGGTCATGGAATAATGAGTGAGATGAAACCCTTTGACAGAAGGCCGAAGGATGTCAATGTCTGTGTTGAAAGATGGAACGAATTGTGGGCGTGTGCCAAACGTTGCCAAATCACTTCAGATGATGTGATTTTCAGAATTTTATGTAAGAATTTGTTAAACCGACCAGAGGCAGTTGAATAAACTATATTTTAATTAATGGGAATTTAAATTAACATTATTAATAAATCGTGAGAAGAGAATTATTATATTTTGAGTGGAATGAAATTTACTGGTGGAATCGGCCAAAACACAGATTCTAATTATGGTTGTGAAGAGTCGAAATTTGGGGAGATATGTAAGTTCTCCAATTTTTCGCAGTTTAGCAAATATGAGTAAATGACACTCAGTTGTTTAACATCCGTCTTTTTGTTGATACAGTTGTTATTCATGAAGATGTGGGACATTTCCAGGAATAAACGTTTGGAAAGGTGTTTTTCTTTATCAAGAACTTTGATACTTGTGTAATTCATAGAATGCCCTGTTGTGTTAACATGAGATGCTAGAGCGCATCTTTCAGGATGAAGCCTAGCATCACTTTTGTGTGATGTAATCCTTCCTTTAAGAGATCTGGAGGTCTGACCTATGTATATTTGGTTGCAGTTGTTGCAATTGATGGAGTAGACTGTTGGTTAAGCCAAGCAGCGGGACTTTGTCTTTCATTTTTGAAAAAATGCAGTTCCTTGATATAGGGCAGGACAGCAAAACCAGGTCTGGAGTCCGGGTTGGTGCTTGTACTGTTAGGAAAAAAATACGTAGATGACATTATTTTATGCCTCTCTTCCATAGGTCTGGATGGTATTGTCGGAGAATTCAACAGCTATGACCCCTACATCCAATTTACCATTGAAAAAGAAGATGAGAACCTGTCTGTCCCCTTTCTAGACACAAGACTCATTCGCACCAACAACAACAGTTTATTGGTAGACTGGTACCAGAAACCTACGGCCTCAGGTCGGTTTCTCAATTTAAGGTCATACCATAAGCTAGCGATTAAAATCAATTTGGTAAAACAGATGAAAACAAGGGTAATCAGCATCTCAGATAATACCTTCCACACCTCAAATTTACGTAAACTATCAAAACTGTTCATCAACAATGGTTATCCGAAGTGTCTGATTAACAAGATCTTATTTAGTTCACCTTCCAATATTTTGCCGAACTCTGGTGATGCAGGTAATAGTCGCACAACCCCTAATAACGGAACTGATGTAATTCCCAATAATAACATCAATCCTAACAGTACAAGCACCAACCCGGACTCCAGACCTGGTTTTGCTGTCCTGCCCTATATCAAGGAACTGACCCCTAAGCTGATCAGATTGTGCAGTCCTTTGAACTTTCGAATTGCTTGCAAATCCGTCCTCACTATAAACTGCATTTTTTCAAAAATGAAAGACAAAGTCCCGCTGCTTGGCTTAACCAACACAGTCTACTCCATCAATTGCAACAACTGCAACCAAATATACATAGGTCAGACCTCCAGATCTCTTAAAGGAAGGATTACATCACACAAAAGTGATGCTAGGCTTCATCCTGAAAGATGCGCTCTAGCATCTCATGTTAACACAACAGGGCATTCTATGAATTACACAAGTATCAAAGTTCTTGATAAAGAAAAACACCTTTCCAAACGTTTATTCCTGGAAATGTCCCACATCTTCATGAATAACAACTGTATCAACAAAAAGACAGATGTTAAACAACTGAGTGTCATTTACTCATATTTGCTAAACTGCGAAAAATTGGAGAACTTACATATCTCCCCAAATTTCGACTCTTCACAACCATAATTAGAATCTGTGTTTTGGCCGATTCCACCAGTAAATTTCATTCCACTCAAAATATAATAATTCTCTTCTCACGATTTATTAATAATGTTAATTTAAATTCCCATTAATTAAAATATAGTTTATTCAACTGCCTCTGGTCGGTTTAACAAATTCTTACATAAAATTCTGAAAATCACATCATCTGAAGTGATTTGGCAACGTTTGGCACACGCCCACAATTCGTTCCATCTTTCAACACAGACATTGACATCCTTCGGCCTTCTGTCAAAGGGTTTCATCTCACTCATTATTCCATGACCACTAATTTGTGCAATCATCAAGTGGCTTCACGATGTAATGCTCTAATGTTTTTTAAATAATTTTTAATCTGTTTTTAACTTGTTCTTGTCATATTTTATATAATTTTGACCATTTTACAATCTATCCAGCTCTCACCATGTTACTGGACGTTTCCCTCATCCTATACGTAAACAACAATTAGCAACATCCTCACATACTACTGTAAGTTGAGTCAATTTAAATTCATTTTACACTTTTGTTGCTACTGTTATCATTGTAATTGCAGCTCCTGATGATGATGGCAAAGTCCATTGAAAGCTAGAGAGAATTAAAAAAAGTATAAAGAGTCCTCTTTGCTTAAATTTTGTCGAAGTACCCAACAAAAGGCGGAAGCTTTAATTTTTCACCTAACTGGTCTAGACGACAATGACCACGTCTCAAGTTATATATACATATATATATATATATATATATATATATATATATATATATATCACATATACATATCACATATATACATATCACATATATACATATCACATATATACATATATATATATATATACTATAGGGCCTCCACAACATAATTATATGAGTTTTTTGTTTGGGTTCTGTGAATAAGCGTATGTTTTATATAAATATTTGATTCATCAAAAATGTAATACAATAATTCATAAAAAAGCTGATTATGCATAATAAACGTTTTTTTTTTTTTTGTTTTAAATATGTTTTTTTTTGTTTTAAACAAATAAAACTTAGAAAAAACATTGTTTAAATCATATTTTTTCATAATATTAATTGCAAATGTTCGACCTATTATTATACTAAATAATAATAGATACCTTATTTAAAGTCCGACTCTGTACTAAACTGTCGCGAACAGCTGTTACGAACTACGCCGCGCCACGCCGCCGTTAGTCTGAGCGGGTGAATCCCCGAAATAACAAAAACCAATTACAATGAGGAACTATTGGCCTGGGGCCTGGGGGAACCACAGACTACTATTTATAAATTAGCCTTGCAAGTTGGCTATTGCAATAACGTCTACTGTAAGTTATTTTGTGGTGTTCTTTTTTGAAAAATGTCTACAGGAAGGAAGAAAGATGCCATTTGGTCCTGTTTTGATGTTGTTAAAGATAATAACAAAAAATCAGTGACTGCTAAATGCAAAAAAGTAATTATGACTGTACTAGTGCTGCATATGAGGACACATATTCAAAATTTTAAAATTCTCAGCTACCAATGTCAATTATCTATGATTCCGAGTCAGATGAGGATTTAACGCTAGATGTGATATCCGAAACTCAAAAATATTGAAAGAATGTTTACCCTGATAAAAATACAGGTAACTTTGAATTTTAAATTTTCACCAATTTAAAGACAAATAAATATGCCCAAGTCTATTTAAAAAAATCAGAGTATGTTGCAAAAGTCCAGAGGAACGCTTGCACAATAGGAGAGGCTACAGAGATATGGCTAGAATTTTTAGAAGCATTCGAGACTGAACAAGCAAATGGAGAATTTTCGGTAAGAGATATGAATAAAGTCGAGGAGCGTATGAAAATGACTTTGACCCCAGCTCATGTTTTTGCAAATTTGTTTGATCATCGCTTTAGAGGCAATAAACTTAATCAAGAGCAAATAGAAACTGGCATGGAATATGTAGAAACCTATCATCCAGAAGCATTGCCAATTATTAGCTTACTCCTTTTGTCATGACGGAAACTTGTTTATATGCCAAAGAGAAGCCACTATTAACTCCACTGAAAAAGAATAATCGGCTTAGATGAGCTAAAGAACATAGACAATGGACACCTCAACAATGGTGTGCAATAAATACAATGGAGTGATGAGGCCCGATTCGAAGTTTGTGTTGGTGACAGTCGCAGTAGAGTTATACGCAAAAAAAAATGAAGCATTTCATGTTGACTGTCTGAAGAGAACAGTGAAATTTCCAGCATCCATTATGGTCTGGGGCAGTATGTCATCAAAAGGAGTAGGAAAACTTCATTTTATTGATGGAAATGTGGATACAAACAAATATTTGGCAATTTTAGAAGAATCGCTTTTACCAGTGATGGAAGAATGTTTGACATCCGGCCAAGATTTTGTGTTTCAGCAAGATGGTGCAGCGTGCCATACCTCAAAAAAGGCTATAAAATGAATGGAAGAAAATAATGTACCACTTTTGAAATTGTTTTAGAAGTAAATAGTTTCGTCATGTATAGTTTATAAAGGCATATTTTGGTACAAATCTTGAAGTGGGCCAACTGAAGTGGGAAAGGGGCTCGTATAATGAACTGAACCAACCGGTTGTTTCTATTGAGATATTAAATCCTAAATTAAAACTAAAGCAACAAGCCAAACTGTAAGGATTATAATTTTAATATCAAATCACAAAACGTGAAGGCCTCAAAACGACGGTTGCTATCTAGGAAAAAGAGCTAAAAGCAAGTAGAATTCCCCAAAAAAATTGACGGAAAATTAGAACAAGCTCTAATCTGACCATTTATTCAATTTATTGGATCGTTTATATCTGCAAAAAATGTTTCTCAATGTTTTCTATCAACTTACCTGCTTCTTTGCTAACAGGAGGGATAGCGCAAATAGAGCTACACTCGCCACATTTTGTCTTCAAAATTTTAGATGATGAAAAGGTTTCTTCGGTCATTTTGATAAAAGTTTATCGTATAGATATGATGATACGTTTGAACTTGAACCTAACTGTGGTAGAGCAACGACTGTGCCTTGAACTATCCGACCGCAAATTATTTATTATGCTGAGGGTGGCACTCAAGCAACTTTGACCGTTAAAGGTAGCAATTCATACGAAAAGGAACGAAAGGAATTTCCAAACGAGCAAGTAGCCAACAGAATGAGAGCATGACGTGATGAGGGCCTCTTGGGTAGTAGACTCTTTTATGGTTCGACGTTGCCATATTTGTCTCCCGGTTTGCCCTATCCCGATGTATAGTGCAGCAGCTCTGTGATTTAAATGAATTCAATATAGCAACATAAATAGAAACATACGCGAGAAGAGATGCGGGACGTGTGTTATTGACTTTGAGCATCGATCGACGCAGTTTCTGGACAGGCCACAGGCGCACCGCTAAACAAATCTCATTAATGTCTATTTCCAATTTAGGCGTTCATCTAGCACCAACCCCGAACAAAATCTGTCAGCTTTACACACTTTTCAAATTACTATTGAGCAACAAATAGAACATGATTCACTTTTGAAGTGCAATCTGTATAGCTAATATACAGGGTGACTTTGAAGTTGAGTCATTAATTTTCAGATAATGATTGTAGAAGGAAGATAAACCAAAATATGTGTGTAAAAATAAAAAAAAATTAAATTTTTTTTTTACCTTGTTTTATAAAGTATCCTCCCGACAAGTATTTCAGTGCGGACCTGTATTTGATCGTGAGGTCTTGGAGCACCGGCATGCAGTCCCCTGTGTGGTCTTAAGTCACCTGATTCACGAGCCCGTTGTACTACATTAACAAAGGCACGAGGGGTTGGTTGCACTCGATTGGGAAACCGATCCGCATAAACATGTGCCATTTTTTATTTCGTTTGAGCCACGCAACAGACACCACTATTCAAACGCGTTACCGACTGACACTGACTGTATACAACTGACTAAAATAATTGTAAAAACATCGTTCCAAATTCTTTCGCTTTTTTGTTTCCGATGCGATGAACCAAACACGAGCACATAATATTATTATTGAGACAGGGCGGTACTCAAACTTCCAAAGGGCTATAACTTTGTTACTTTAATTTTACCAGAAAAATGGTAAAGGAAAAAAACATTCCTTTTGATCAGATCTACTCACTGTTAAAATAAATGACTCAACTTCGAAGTCACCCAGACTTAGGCCCGTATCGTCAGTCGTCCCTACAATTGTAGGGCGCCTTTATGGCCTCCTTGATTGTCATAGTTTTCTACTTCTCCGTGTCAAAACTTTATTTTGAGGTTATGTCACAAACATATATTTGCATCAAATTGTGCTTGCTTTTGAGTTATATCATGTTTTATCAACCTGAAATTTCCTACAATTCAAAAAGAAAACATATCTTCACAATAGGAGAGCGCTGACGCTGACACGGGACAAGTGTAATCTAGAAATTTTTGAAGGAGCGAAAGGAGTATGACAATCAAGGAGGCCATAAACGCGCCCTACAATTGTAGGGTCGACTGACGATACGGGCCTTAGATTTGTCACAAGTAACAATACTCGTATATACGTATAAATCGTAAGAATTGTGCTGCAAACATGTGATGTCAAAGAAGGACAGCATTTGGAATACCAAAGGATACAGAAAATCGCAATGCTCAGTTCCTATAGCTATAACTTATAGTTAGTATGTCTCTGTCACCATGATGTGACAGAAAGTAACACAATGGTGTTAGATTGCAAAAGCAAGTGTCAGACTTCTAGGGGGGGCGTGCCCCCCCTCTAAATCCGCCACTGATCTACAACCGGATGGTAAAGTGTACTTTATGAATAGATTTCCCGAACGATAAGTCCATGCTGTTGAGCATGTTACTCCTTTATGCCATAATAGTAGTAAAGTAACTTTAGGGTCTTTAATGAATCTATTTTGATCCCATTGTGACGCTCCTTGGAACTGCCCTTATTTGCCTGTTACGATACACGGGTACCAAAACGGAAGAGAGTAGCATAACACACCGTACGCCACTGCGAACGCGGCGTTCCTTTACATCGGCAAAGTCGGCGCGCACAAATTTCGCTGTATTCAACAACGTAACCAACAGTGCCTCAATCGTAACAAAATAAGTCAAAATTGTAATTTCGCGCGAATAGGTTCTTAACCTAGATTAGGTGAAACTACCAGAAGCTTAAAAACATTGCTTATCAATGCGATAGTATCATAAAACCATTAATTACTTCGAGTTTATCACTTTGAGGTCAATAAGTAAATATGATTAAAAAAGTTTAAGCGTGGCAACAGTGCATACAAGTTTAGCTGCTGTGAATTACAGTATGCTTACAATGTTGCCGGGAAACGACGAAACCGAAAACCGACCAGTCAGCGAATTGGCATACAGGCGATTATATATCGCAATAGATCAATGAATGATGTAGTATGCAGTACGTTCACGTCAATTCATTTTCCAGATTGTGAATATCAATAATGGTGCCCAAAGAAAAAAGAAAAAATATTGGCCAGCAATTACTTCTTTCCTACTCCTGAAGGCGGAGGAGTATTGTAATCACGAAAAATTTCGAAAATGAAATATTACATTTTTGGGATGTTATATAGTATATCATTTACATCACAAAAAATGTGTCACTCATTTCTGTTGGTCTCTCTGTCTGTCCGCTAATCCTTGAACCGTCTATATAACTTGGAAAGTACCGCTCGGATTTAGATGAGATTGTTAGCTTTGTAGCTTTTGAAAATCGGTCCAGTAGCGGCACAGAAAAGGGTCAAAAGCAAAACAATCGCTTAAACTTCGTTTTTCGACGTTTCAGAGAATTCTAATCATTTAAAAAATACATTTTTAGAGGTAAAAAGGATAGTGTGGGGGTTGTAGGTAAGTGGGGGAGGGTGTAAAGCAATTTTTTGGTGTTAATACATAGATTAATACACTTCCAACCTCAGTGATTCGGCACACCTATTAAGACATATTTCCCCGTACATTTGCCCTTGAAAATATTTTATATTTTCACCAGACGGATCGCCTATTGGAGTGTTATTCAGTGATGTTATTTGACAGCATATAAGTATTCATCAAGAGCTATTATAATCTGATATCAAAGGCTCAAATGGTGTATTACTGGTTCTAACAAAACCGAGGTACGTCTTTTTGATATCATTGCACTACTTGGAAGATTGTACTAGAAGGTGTGAAGGCGTGGAAAGTATAGTCAATCTACTTGACGCCTTTTTTTAAACTTTAATAACTCAATACACAGATATGATGAAAAATTTTTAAATGTGGCAATGGCGCAAATGAGCTTATGCTGATGTGAATCACAGTCTGCTTGGTATAAAACAACTGACTACTCAGCGATTCGACGTAAGTTGGTAAGTTGGCCATACACGTTGACTAATATCAGTGCACTGGGCTGTTACAGTATGTTTCAAATTTTTGGCAATCACAAATAATAGCGTATGCGTTATATGTGGTTGCCAAAACTGTATAGTTTATTGCGCTAAGCGCTATATCATTTGGAGTTAACTACATTAACTTTCATAAGCCGGGGTCAAAAACTTACATTAAGTACCGAGTGGGGTGCAAATGTATCCCACGATTTTTTTGGCTTATTTTTTTCAATTTGTAATTAATCAGAAATAAACACATTCTAGTTAAGAATATATATGTTACCGGCAATCTGAATAATCCGGTATTCTATAAGTAATGTATAGAATACCTAAGCCGTGTAGGTAATGTATGAAATATCTTTTGCCTAGGTATTTTATACAATACCAAATGCGCAGCCGGTAATGTATGTAAAAGACGAGAGCAAGGAACGGGTTGTACGTACAGGCAGGCAGCGAATAAACGAAGTGCGTCCTTGAAAGCAAAGAAAATTACATTATGTTACTTATAACCAGAATAATTTTAGTTTCGCATCAGTTTTACTGTAGTAACAGAGAGGTGCTTTTCTTGTACCCTTTTGATAAAGCTTATTTTTAAGAAGCACTCTAATTGTTAATTTTAAGAAAGTTGATTTTAAATAACATAACTTGTTTCATTTGCCCGTCATTTTTTAGGTATGCCTGTTAACACTGATAAATTTAGACCAAGATCTATTTATTTTACACGTTGCCGGTGGAACACATATAAAATGGCTATACGACCTCGAATTTTCAAGGAGACGTCTAACCACACCCACGCGGCCCATTATTTCCCTACTTGTTGTTATATACCTTTCTCCGCATGATCATATTTTCTTTGTAGATCCTTTTGACCTGAAGTACCACAGCAAGTGGCTATAACCGGCCGCGTGGTTGTGGTTAGACGTCTCCTTGAAAATTCGAGGTCGTATAGCCATTTTATACTACAATGTGTAGGTTGGCTCTTGTTGTGGACTTCGTGTGTCGTTTTTTCTCCGTCCAACTTCGTTTCCTCAGGTTACACCCGTATCCGGATGTGTGGGCATGTGTATCTACTTTTGTAGTTTCATATGTGCATTCATTTCGGGCCTGATGAAGCCAACCAGCAGAAATACGTATCGCTCGGGTTGCCTATCCTATTTTCTGCTCGAATTCACTTTCCTCCTTTTTGCGGATTTTGCCCATTATTTTCCTACTTTTTGTTATATATCTTTCTCCGCATGATCATTTTCTCTCTCTCTCTATATATATATAATAGGCAAAAAGCAGTAAAGTGGATTCGAGCAGAAAATAGGATAGGTAACTCGAGCGATACGTATTTCTGCTGGTTGGCAGAATGCGCACATGCAACTACAAAAGTAGATACACATAAGATGGAGAGGTAAAAAACGACACACGAAGTCCAGAATAAGAGCCAACCTACACATTGTAGTATAAAATGGCTAGAAGAACTCGAATTTTCAAGGAGACATCTAACCACAACCACGCGGCCGATCATAGCCACTGTTATTTTCAATAAAATGCAATTTTAAACATAAATCTAGATGTATCAGATGTGTGTCCATGCTCCGAGTATGGCGCCTATTTTTCATTGTTACATTATATACTAAGTGACATATAAATCCGAACACCCAGTTTAAATGGTTTTATTTTAATAAAATTTTGTATAAGTACTTAATGAAGCATAATAAGTAAATGATAAAAATTTCAAAATGATTGCACTGCTTTAAAGCCCTTTGACCTTTAATAATGTGTGGATGCACCCTGATGTGCTACG